TGAGCTCTCCTGTATAAAGTTAGAGTTATATATTCTAAATTGGAGCTTATTTATAGCACTTTATAGGTTTTCGCTTAATGGTAGTTTGTGGGCGTGGCAATGGTGCAATTACGGTGGGTTTTATAACCTATTGCAGGTTTAAAAAAATATTTCTAGTGTTAAAGCGAGCTTAATTGTGTTATAGATAAAAAAATATGTTATCTCAGCCACAATGAAAACACACTTTTGTACCGTTATAGCAAACTTTTCAAACACCAACTCCCTTCTGCCCTCCCTACACCATTTGGTTGCATAAACGACAATTTGCTGCAACGCCGAAAAATGGCGACCATGCGTTTGACATTTAACAAATGCAACTTTTGCAACTGTTCTCCTAACACACACACACACACATAGATTTTCTTCCAATATTTTACGATATGTTTTTATTACCTTTACTGTTAGAGGTTTTCTTTTCATACTTTATTGCTTGCGCCTGCGCTGAAAGATGTCAAAACAACAGCAAACACAGCGGTGGCAAACTTTTGGCATTTTCAGCATAAATATACGCGCATATAACATATACATATATAAATATTTGTGTGTGTGTATATTGTACAGTTGTTGTTGTTGTGTATATTTGCGCATGCATAAATGCCTAAAAAACAATTTGTTGGCATTTTGTTGCATGTTGCATGTGCAACATGGGCATTAACTCGAACGCATTCAGGGCTTGGCGCATGATTAATGTCGCCAAATAACAGCGGTAATAACAAAGGTGAATTGACGACGCCGACTTGGCAAACAACAGGTGACAAGTGGCAAACGCTTTCAAAAATTACTTGGCAAAAGGTCTTTAAGAGCTTTTAGGTTGTAAACGGTTTCGTTTTTGCATAAATAAAAAATTATGAATCTCAGTAAATGCAAAGCCAATTGTGTGTGTATATATGCCGTTGTGTGCCGTTAAGTGCTGGCTACAACAGCCAACAATGCGCTATGGGTATTTTACTGTGAGAAAAGTTGAAAATTCTGGTAAAAATATTTTTTTAATGAACAGTTGTTCAACTGTGCTGTAAAATTACTATTAACTCATTTCAAAATCGAATATATTTAAGTAATAAAACTATTTTCCGATAAAAATAATTTTCTATGTTCGAAAACTTATTTTCAAAATTTAAAACAATTTGCAAGTTCGAAAACCTAGTTTCGAAATTTAAAACATTGGCTAAATTTTCATCTCAAAATGACCGAAATCCAGTTTATATGTTTCAAAATCTATATATTCGAAATTTCCACACATAAATTGTTATAATAGAAAATAAATTATGTTAAATTGTTAAAAGAGAATTCTATTAATTAAAAAACCATAAATCGAAATTCTAAATTTTAATAAAATAAATTTTAAAAAATTTTGGGTGGCACAAATCGAAAAATTATATTTTGAAAACTGAAAATATTTACTTTAATAAATTATTTTTAAGTCTCTTTTTGTATGTAAAAAAGTTTTAAATCGTCATATAAAAATATTCAAGTAAATCTACAAAATTAAAAATTTGAATATTTTATTTTTCATTGCGAAAATTTCCGCTATAAAACACCAAAAATTCAAAACTAAGAATATATTAGAAATTTAAAAATCGTCGAATTTCGAGAACTTGTGTAATAAATATTCTTTGCGCGCCCTAAACAACCGGGCGCACAACCGCCTCAATTTCCGCCTGCCAATTTCACTTTGCCGTTAATGCAATTACTGCCTTCAATAGCGCTAGTAAAAAGCGCACTAACAACATGAAATATGCTACGCTGCCTGCCACTACCAATAACAGCACGTCAGCGGCTAATGTGATTTATTGGCTTCATGTGAAAGCACACACACACACATACACACTTATTTATAAAAAATACACACGCCGCAGACTGCTCAAGCACACATAAGTGTTTCAACTTATATGAAGGCACATGTGTGTGCGTGTGCATGTGATATGCATGCCTTGCCATAAATACCTTAGAAGTTAATTGTGTGTAACGTATGCAGATATGTGGGTGTGTATGTGTGTGCTACACTTCCACCCATACAAATCGGCGGCGCAGTCGGTGCCTTATCGCTCTGTCTTTTCGTTGTAAATTTACGGCTAATTTAATATTGGCGGAAAGTCTTAAGGATTCGCGTTGTGATTTCTTTGAAGAGTCCCGTCATCTCGCTGCTGCAGCCTCGAGTGAGGTGGCAAGTACAATTACAATTTTAATTGTGTTGTAAAACTCGCTGAATTATTTCTACTCGCTTTTAATGGCAGCGCAAAGGGTAGGTAAAAATGTATTAATGTGATTTTTTATTTTTTCTCGTCTTTTGTCTGTTCTTTGACGCAATGCAAAGAAAAATAAAGAGGAGAAGAGTGGAAAATTAAGAAATGAATAGCGTTAATAATGACAAAGTAAATTTATTTTTACGAAATTATGCGCTGGAATAATTTTGAAATTGCATTATTTCACAGGAGGGTTGCTATTTCTATTCATAGTTTGAGTAATACTAATTTCGGCACGTCAGAATTGACAACTGTCATTTTTAAGATTGACATTTTCTATTTTTTTATCGCACAGTTTGACGGTTGACGCACAGTTTGTGTAGAGCCGTTTAGGTTCCAAAATTGCCGAAATAAAAAACTTGAAATACATACATAAGAATAGGCATTGAATATTTCTAGTGAAACATTTATCAATAGGGTTATGAGTAACTAGAAATTTCTTCAGAGTTCTTGAATCTTTGTGGATGAGTCCGAAATAAATTAACTAATGAAACCATACAGATAAAATAATTTCGAAATCATCATCACAGAAAATATTTATTAATTGCATGAAATGTGGGTTGCAATACAGAATTTAGTATCAAAGAAATTCTCAAATGCCTTCCAGCTGAGCCTTTTCACAGATTAGTCGACGCTAGGAGCGAAGGTTGCATGTAGAGTTTTCTGTAAGGTCAATCTTAGCTTTAGGCTACCGTATCACTGTAGTGTTTTTCAGGCATAAATGGCAGCTATTAAGGCCTGTGCTGCTACGAAATGCAGCCCCAATCAAAAGAGGACACCCTTGTACCGTTCACATCGAAGTGGGAACGATTTGGGGCTCCATTGTCAGCGTATTGCATTCTAGCACTGGACCAATGGACCTGGCGTGCGCTTAGCAAGTGTTTGTCGACGACTCGCTACTGTGAGACTGCGAGATCAATTTGGTCTAGAGTAGAACGGAGGAGATGTAGTGAATTACTTGCCTTTAGTCAACTTCATCTTTCCACAATCGTAGTAGCACTTAATGGACATTGTCCAATAGGTTAATTAGTTAATTGCAAAAAAAACACCGACATAACCTAACATAATCTATTAAAATATAAACTTTTCAAAATTTAATGACTTAACCCTATTAATTGGCATCGATGATGGAAAATACAAATGGTTGAGAGAGGAGTTGTCATGCCTAGTTTAAACATATAATAATGTTTTTTGTTCATGTGTTTCATTTACTTCATAACTTTATGTCATTCCTGCCCAAATTTCTGATTTTTCTATACTACTTTGCAATTAAAAAAGTTTTCTTGGTTTTTAGCGGTCAGATTGGTAGCTCTATGCTATAGTGGTACGATATCGGCATTTCCGACAAATAAGCAGCTTCGTGGTGAGAAAAGGGCATGTGCAAACAAGTATATACAGACAATATTGGTATTTTAAATTGTTTTAGGTATAAATTAGCGAAAATCATACTCTTAATTTAAACTATAAACTCTTCCTTCAAATAAAAAACATTTCCTTTTGTGTTCTTTTTTTTGCAGATAATCCAAAGTTGTTATCAAGTTAACCGCAGATTACTGCTCAGTAAATTGAGAGTCCCACAGTGTGACAAAAAAGGATTTAGATTATCGCGTTCACATACACCAACTGAAACTAATATCAGACGATATGCTATTTTGTCCGATTGCTTGTGACCAAAGTGCCAGGCGATAAAAGAATACCTTAGACAAACTTACAATCAAGAATATCAAAAAATAATATTGCATAAATATTTTGCACCAAGTGCATGGAGAGGAAACAAGCGCGACATTGCGAAATGCGTATAAAAATGCTTGAATTATAAAAAGTGAGCTCGTAAAATGAAAACGGCGGCAATGAAATAATAATAGCTGCGAATAATAGTAAGCAAAGCAACAACACGCCACAATAGCAACTTTTGCGCAGCGTCAATGCGTCTGCACGCACATTGCGTAGGCCAAGCGAGCCGCACAAACAACGCGCAAATGTGTCTTGCGTTTAATTAAACTTTGTCGGTGCGCATGCGCAGAGCTAATCACACACACAAGCGCAAGTGTAGCTCTGTGTGTTTGCATTTTTCAAGTCTACGCCACGAAGCCACAAGCCTCGCGTGCTGGCACATGACGCATGCGTGAGTGCCATCTCCGGCACACCACTCACATGGTGTTGTTTATAGCAAACGACTGAGTGGGCTGCGCTTGCGCATGCGCTGACTCCCAAAGGAGTGTAGACAAATTTTTATGGGAATTTATTAAACAAACGCATTATGCCACAACAAACAACGCGACAAACAGCGGGCGGCGGCAACATGTGGTCGCAAGACTGCTATAATCTTGTTGCTGCGGTCCACGCATGCTCATGCAAGTGTGAGCACTTTAAAGGCAAAAATACACACCAACACACACAAAAGCAAAAAAAAAAATTAAAAAAAAAAAACAAATTGTAATAAAAAATAACATGAAAGCGTCCACTTTAACAATATTAATTTGCGCATAAAATTGAGTTTCTTATGTTAATTGAATGCGCCTGCTGCCAGAGGGGCCGAACAAGCCGCCAAGCAACGCAACAACAAACGACAGCGCGCGCATTGCGACAAGCAAGACGACGCTGACAAGCGGCGATAAATGACAATAACAAAAACCATAATAATAAAATTTAAAATGAATATAAAATAGATATTTTCTAATAAATAAAATTCATTGCGTTTTTGTTCTTCTCTTTCAGCTAATTAATTGCCATACAAACGCATACAGACGAGTGTGTGTGTGTGTGAGCGCGCAAAGTGTTGCACAGTTGGAAAAAAAAGCAAATAAAAGCGACGTACCACAAAAACAACAACTACTAAGTGTGTGTTCAAAAACCAAATAAATATTTTAAATATTCGAAATTAAATAAGTGTTTGAGCATAGTGTTGATTTGCATAAATACGCGTGCATGTGTGTGTGCACAAACACATAAATATTGTTAAATCATATACAAGAGCTGCAATTAAAGGCATACTTGTCACAGTGCCACAGTGCAGTGCGAAAATTCTTAGCAAGATGCAAATTTAAAATATTCTTTGTTATTGTTGGTATGTTTCTTCGGAAATAAATAATAAAATAGAGTAAAATAATTGAATAAAAGTGCCTAATGTATGTATGTAGATGTGTGTGTGTCTGCAGCTGTTGCAGCGCATAGTTTGCATTTCTTAATAAAACCGAAATTTAGTGCATAAAAATAAACAACAACAACAACAAAAGTAATATCAGCTATATCAGTGCTTTAAAAACAACAAATAAATAAGAAAGCCAAACTAAATTCCGTATGCAAACAACTGCGTTAAAAGTACGAAAATAACAAATTTTCGGCCGGAAGCTGAGGCTAACGGAAATTTGCTGGACTGCAGTGCGGAAGTCAGTGCAAAGGTATGCAAATTCAATTTACTTGCTGCAGTGTGTAGCTTTAAATATGTTAGGCATATAAATTGTTGGAAATTGCAAACAATTTTTAAATAATATTTAATTCTTTTCAACTATTATTTAAAATACTTTATATAAATAAATTGTTTGCATAACTTTTTGCCCATTGAATTGTATGCTTCTTGTATTTTGTTTTGTATTTTAAATTTTATTTTATTTTAGTGTATAAATCTTGTAAGTGAATGGCAAAACTTGTCAAAAATAATTTTTACTTACACTCAAAAGTCGCTCAACATTTTAGAAGATAATGCTTCAAATTTCTCAGATTTGAGCATAAATTCATAAGACTAGTAGCTTATACTAGCAAGCTTGCTGCAGTGATAAATCAAATTTTGGCAAATCAGAACGCTCAAAATTTTGGGTAAAACTCAACCCTTTTTAAAATGCCGACATTTTGTCAACTTATGAAATTTTTTTCGAGCGTAGGTCAATGTACGGACTTTATCTTATAGAGATTTTTTTTTGTGGTTTCATTACAGTATTGTTTTTAATTCTCAAAATTCGTATTTTTAAACTGTCACACAACGTGTGCTCCTTAAGATGAATATTTTCTAGTTTACATACAAATGAGCTGACTTCTAGGGAGAAAAGGATGTGTGCAAAATTTTAAATCGATATCTGGAAAACTGCAGGGTTAGTTCGCATATACACAGACTGACAGACAGACGAACATAGTTAAATACCATATATAAATTATGGGAGCTGCGACATTTCCTTTTGGGTGTTACAAACTTCGTGGCAAACTTAACTTAACTTCTAATTATTCGAACAAAAATATTGAAAGAGCTAAAATTTAAGAAATCAAATGATTATGATTTCAAAAAGTCCAAAAAATAATCAGCGTCAATACGGCGCCAATCGTTTCTATTTATCGGTTGTTTAGCTTTTATATATTGATTTCGTCTGAGTCATGATTTCTTGTGAAAAGAGTTTATGAAAAATAAAGTTTTACTTCGGCTAATTCACTCTTTGTTTTGATTTTCTTACACATTTTGCAGCACCCTAAATGTAGGCAATACATATTTGTTTACAGTGTTTCAAAATTGTTTTCCAGTTACCAGAATTCTCGAATAGTGTTCTTAGCAGTTATTGTCTTCAGTGACATTTATTTAGAAATATTTAAAACAAAAATATAATGGGATTAGGTGTCTTTCGACCACTTTAAGAAAAATTTGAAGGCTATAAAGCAGCTGCTGAATGGTGTCGACAAAATATTTACATTGCCTCTTTGTGAAGCAATTTTAAACCAAATTAAAAAAATACTATTAATTAAAAAAAAATTAAATCGAACGAATCGAAGCCAAACATTGTAAATACTATCCACCGTTACTAGTATTTGCATCAAAAACAGACGTTTGCACAACCCAATTACACAGTGTAGAATACAGATAAACTATTGAAAGGATTAAATAAATGAGGTACCACTGAACAGTCGACTAGCAACGAATGTCCCAACAACAAAGAGTAAAAGTAGAATACATGTATAAGCTTGCAACAAAGGCTCGCATGGAAATCGCACATTTTTCGCTAGATAAATTCTATGAATAACGCATGTTGCAGTTAACGCTAACAATGCGCTTTTAGGTCAGTGCAAAAGCTGGGCAAACAGCAAAGAAGAAAAAATGCAAAAGCGGAGAGAATAAAAAATACACATGCACACATGCGTTCTTAAGCATAAATAGATGGCATAAAAATATTATTTTAAATGTATTCAAAAAATAATTCCAACAAATGTATTAAACTATGCGCCGACAATGCATAATACAGGGTGCCTATTTGCATACAGCAAGCAAAAGCATAAGTATTACTCTACATACTCGCTTACAAGCGGGTGGAGTTGGCGGCGGACAAAAGGATGTGCGCCTAACAGCTGCTGCGCATGAGCAGAGGTAAATCCCAGCGGACGCGGACGGTGAATGCGGCGAATTTGCATTGAATGGGCGGAAAGTCGCCTACCCACCGCCGTGGCATGGAAGTAGAGATAGCCAAATGCGCTGGAAGTGCAACGGAATTATTTGCGCACATGTGCGCTGTGCCATGCAGGTCCCACACGTAGGTTCGGGCACACACTCACACACCCACACACAAGCAGGAAGGTGCAACAAAGTTTTCAATCAAATTTTTATGCATTTTGCACTTGCACACCGAAAATGGGCAGGAAAAAATATGAATTTTGTTCTTCTTCTTATTCCACCTTTTTTTGAATACTAAATTAAGGAAATAAAACTTGCCATATGAGAATATTAACACACAAAAAATTTAAGCTCGCAAAGAGTGTGGAAATTGTTTGTTAATGCGGTCTGAAAAATGGGCGTGTTCAGTGTGCGACACCAACTCACACTCGGCCTACCAAGCCCACGTACACTTGCGGTTTATTAATGATGCAACCGCCCGCTCGCCCGCCCAACCAACTAACCTCCGTGTGGCGACCGGAGAATTGAAAGCGTTGAAAAGCGCCTGCCAACTGCCGACTGTGCGCGCGAGTGCAATGTAGGTCATTTAAACCACGAAAAGTGCGCCGAGTTAAAAACGTGTGGCACATAATGGCGCACGGGGGGCGTGGAAGCGCGCACACCGTAAAGAAAATGCCTGTAGACTGACGAAAAATTTTGCTGAGAAAAACAAAATCATAACGAGTGAAAGTGAAACAAAAGCGGCATATTAAAGTTCCTACATAAAAACAACAAAAAAAAACAGCAAAAAGAACTACCAAAAAACGACAACAAAAAATCCAAAAAATATAACAAAAACACAAAAAATGTGGGTAGTGTTTGCACAGCAGCAAAAACGAAGAAAAAACTATTAGTAATAAGAAGAGGCAGCAGCAGAAGACGAAATTTGCATGGTAATGAAGTGCTGAATAGAGAATACGAGGAGCGCATATAGACACACGCCGCGCAAAGTAGTGCTATCAATGGCTTAGAGGCAGAAGATGAATGCTTACAGAAAATTATTATAAGAAAGTAGCAGTCTTTACTCTTCTTCTCTTAAGAGCAAATCAAACAAATAACGGTAAAAAATCTGCTCTGCCAACTATTCAACGAGAATGAAGAATTTGATTGAGTAGATGAAGTGGCGCAGATAAAGAGATAGTGGCAGTTTTATTTTGTTAAATGCTGAGATAACGCAAATCAGCACGACGTGGGGGAGGCAGCTGCGAAAGTAAAGCAGTGAAATTAGAATGTAAGCGACAAGGACTTTAGAAAGCAGTAAATGAATGGCAGAAAAGAAAATATAATTGAAATTATTTTGCCAAGGCGAAGCGGAAGTAATTTCTTAAGGAATCTTGAAGGCCTTAATAATGTGATAATGAATAATTTTTCATTCTCTTAAAGGGTAAAAAAAATTTCAAAGGTGCTAAATGATTGAATATAAATCAATATTGGGTATAAATATTATTTTATATTATAAAATTGTGCCAATAAACAGATATAATAACACGATTTTTTCTTATATTTATTCATTGAAACTTGACTGAGTTGAACCTAAGAGATATACAAGTATACTGATATATGCAAAGTTGTAACCAAGAGATACATGTTATTGAGTACTCTAATCTGCAGGAAGTGCAGCGGGCCCTGTATATTATCCGTTAGTCCATTACACTAAACTTTCAAGATCTAATCTGTCATTCGATGTTTTGTAAAGTCAAGGATTCGCTCTATTGGTAGAAGAAATTGTCTGAAGCAGTAGTTTTCGAAGAAACAATTTTTAACTATGCTTCGGTCAGCTACAGCACAGAGAGCGAGATTATAAGGTAATAGTCCTTGACTATCCAAAACCCAAAAACGTGTTGTTCAAAAAAAAACTTAATCACCCTGAAGATACTTTATTAAGACTTTATTATATTGTAAGATTATTATCCAAAGCAACGGTGCAATTTCCATAGAAATCGTTAAAGCATATAGCTCCCATACAAACTGACCGATCGAAATCAAGTTCTTGTAAGAAACATTTTAAATACGTGAAGGGTATTAGTATAGCTTCGGTACAACCAAAGTCTACATATTTTCTTGTTTTTTTTTTTCAATGAAAGCAGAATCTCCATAAACACTAGAAGTAGATTATAAAACGATTTATAGATTTTTATTCCTTGAAGCAGTCTTATTCGTGAGTAATGCTGACCAACATTTAGGTATCACCAAAATGTTCAATTAAATCGAGTTTTTAGCACAATGTAAAAACAAGGAAACCTAAAAAATGTCTAACAGAATTGAAATATTTTTCTTTCAACAATTATTTCTATGAAATTCTCAGGTTTTTGCATATCGATTGCACTTCAGAGCTTAAAGGCTGCGTCTATAGTTGAATAATAAAAATATTTACACAACTTACACGCACACTAATGCCTTTGCAACAATTTGTGCCACACTAAATAAAAATCAAACACCTTCATGATGCACTCATTAAAATGCGTGGCAACACTTAATATTCGCACGTGAACGCTTCTTAGATGCCGCTCATATGCGCTCATCCAACACCTTTGTTGTTATTTTTGTCGATATTTGTCACACAAGTGGTGTATTTTTTCTCAAAGCGCCGTCGACTTTCTCAATAAAAATGTTAATTTATGCTCATTAAAGCTGTACATTAAACAACAACAACAACGAGCAGCTTAACATGCACACAAACTCATTCAAGCAACTCTGAACGCAACTTTGCATGCAATTCCACCTTAGCTGCAACTACAACGACACAACCACCAACTCAAATCAAACTAAATCTCAAAGTGTTTAGCTTTTGATCGCTTGGCGCTTGTTGCCGCATCGCCGCACCGCTTTTGACACTCGCCTCGCGTTGCTAAGTGTTATTAGTGGCGTAAATCGCTGTTTTGTTGTTGTTTTGTTATTGCTGATGTTGATGTTGTAATTGCGAACTCGAATTGTTGTTCTTGCTCTGCTTAAATTGTTGCATACGAGTAATATATTGAGTTGTATGCAAATTTC